GGTGCTAGATTGTAAGTGAAAATTTTCCTAGGAAAAATCAATCCCCTCAACAGCAGTAGCAAAGTCCATTTCCATTGTCCCATGAAACAGCTGAAAATTTCTAAAAAACCCTATTTTGTTTTCAACCTGACTCTAACTATGAATTGGGACTCCGAGGACCAACCTGACCATCCAGCTATACCGGTCTTAGTGATAAAGGGGACACATAATTCACCCACAAATCAATTTCTCTGATGCTTCCCACCACTTCTTCAACAACAACAAAAAGCAGGAGATAAGCCCTGGTGGAGAGCACTCCTCCTGCCTGGTATCTGCAGCCGGCGTAACGCCAGGCGGGTGCTCCGCAAGTGGCATCAGTCTTGGCACTGCCAGGCTGGGTAGAATTAGTCAGGATTTTTTAGGTTTTTTCCTTTATCTGTGGAAAGTCAGCTTCCTACATTACATAGCTGATCTGAGCAAAACAAAGGTCTGCCTGCATTGGAAAGGAACGCGATGGAGACATTCATTTCCCCAGAATAGGTAGTGTAACAAATCAATCCTGACTGCACTGATAAATTGAACTTCAAGCTTGGTGATACTGCTTTTCAGGTCTAATCCAGTGTAAGACACAGCAGGAAGGAAAGGCAAAGGCGCTCGTTAGCATTTCATGCTGCAAGGAGCTGCTCCCTGAGCAGGAGAAGAAAATAAAAGTCGTCTTTTCCCTTCTCTTTCTGCACAGTATTGCAAGTCTTTTTGAGGAAGGTGACACGGGGCGTGTGGGTACATGCTGGACTGTGCATGCAGATAGTGAGGTGCAAAAGAACTGTCCAACAGTTGCTGGCTTCTGGCCAAGCTCCAAACCTTGGGACGGGATCATAACTCGAGCTCCTGGGTGGCAGTGAGAAAGACGCGTTGCTCATGGGGAAAACCTGGCTCACAGCAGTACGGGGATTATCACAGAATCACAGAAGGGTTTGGGTTGGAAGGGCCCTTACAGACCATCTAGTTCCAACGCCCCTGCCATGGGCAGGGACACCTTCCACTAGAAGGAGCAATGCTCTGGGACGCAAAGGGAAGAGGAGCTGGTGGGCTGGGCTTTAGGAGGCTGAGGTTCAGACCAAGTTTGAGCTGCAGAGCCCCAGGCCGAACGCAGACAGGTCACTCACTCCCCTGGTCACAGCAGAAGTACTTCGGCATCTAAGTGGACAGCAAGTCCTGCTCTCTGGGTCACACAGCAGCCAGCACCTGATCTTCCTCCCCTCAGCACTCTGCATAACAACAAAGGGGATTTTTGCCCTTAACTTTTCTGAATTGGGATGTAAACGTTAGATCTGTAGGAAACTCCAGTTTTTCACCTCTCTTCCACACTGGAGCGCAGGGTTGCAATCAGCCAGAGCCCAGCAGGACTGGCACTGGGAGAAAAGTCTGGCAGCACTCCGTATTTGGGCAGAAAGCGTGAAACATTGGTCTAAAAAGCTCACAGAGGAGAAAAAAAAACCCTTAAGTTTTACAAATTTTGAAATCCCATTGTTTTAATGGAGTCTCCTGGTGGGATTGCAAGACTGGAGAGGGGGGTGAACGAGGACACTTGTATTTGGCAATGGCTTTGACTCCATGTTCCCATGTTGCCTCTTCATTCCCATCGCTGCCCCGTGCAAAAGTCTGCGCTGCTGGGACACCTTGCACCTGCTCCGCTGCCAGCTTTTGGGCACTGCCTACTCTGGGAAACAGGATTTTTCCTTCCAAAAACTTCAAAGACCTCATTTTTATGGCTGTGGTGCAATGACCAACTGCCCTTTAGAGGTCCCTTCTGTGGGTCATGGAGTTAGGATAACATGGACTGCTTAATAATTAAAACCAAAGCAAAGTTATTCACACTACACAGAGCACCTTGTGGTATGGGCAAGGTCCACCGGCACAGGTTGGCCAGCCACGACGGCATTCAGTAGCCACTTGAATGTAACACCTCCCAGCGAAGAACTGTAACATGCTTTTAGGTAAGGCAGGAGAATTCTTGGCCCCACCGTAAGTTTGGTGAGAAGGAGAGATGTGACCTCAGACACAGAACTACACTGCAGCGTCTCCACAGCATGTAGACCTTCAGATTTTAAGTGATCGCCCAGAAATAAATACTCAGACAGGCAGAAATACTCAGACCCCAAGCCTGGCCCAGCTTGGTATCTCTCCAAAAGCGGTTGTCCCAAGCTGTCCCAGGACAAGACCCCCATCACCCTGGGGTGATTGTTTGTCCCCAGAGGGCAGCTCTTTGCCTTCCGCCCACATTCAGATGTCAGGTTCTGCCACAGCTCCTCACCGAGGCCCTGACCGCCTCAGCCACCCTTGTCCTTGCTGCAAGGCCTCCTGAAGTCTGTTAGGCTTGAGAGCAGGGCCTGGCCTGTTGCCATCCGGACAGAAGCCCTGACCGTGCAGAACGCTGACAGGTACCTGCTCTACCCCAGCTGCATGCAAAGCTCACGCCAAACATATCCAGGAAACAGAACACCTCAGTTGTGTGCGTGTATCTTGCGGCAATGAGCTCTAGCTGAATATTTTGTTTGCAAAGGGTTGTTTAGCTCCTTTCAATTTCATCTCAGCCTTACTGTTACAGTACACCTCATCATCCAGCTCCTCTTCGCACGCCAGCTATTATCTGCTATTCCCTTCTTGGCACCTGCCTTTTCCAAAAAGGACCTTTAAGTAGCAATACCCGCCTCAAGCCGCAGCACT